CAGGTATCAAGCATCAAGGAACAAAAATCACATCTTCATGAATGAGGGGGAGTACAGAGTGGAGACCCAAAGGCCATTTGTGGGCAACTGGACATCCCCTTACAGAAGGGTCTCAGGAGGAGACGAGACGGTCAGGGTGTAGCAACGATGAAACATACAACTTTCCTCTAGTTCTTAAATGCTTCCTCCCCCCTACTGTCATGATCCCAATTCTACCTTACAAGTCCAGTTGGACGGGAGGATGTACACTGGCACAAATGGGACCTGGAAACACAGGGAATACAGGACAGATGAACCCCTCAGGACCAGTGGTGAGAGTGGTGATACCGGGAGGGTGGAGCGAAGGTGGGGTAGAAAGGGCAAACCAATTACAAGGATCGACATATAACCTCCTCTCTGGAGGTCAGTCAACAGAAAAGTGGGTGAAGGGAGACGGTGGACAGTGTATAAGATATGACAAAATAATAATGACTTGTAAATTATCAAGGGCTCATGAGGGAGGGGGCATTGGGGAGGGAGGGGAAAAAAATGAGCTGATGCCAGGGGCTCAAGTGGAAAACATGTTTTGAGAATGACGATGGCAACAAATGTGCTTGACACAATGGATGCATGTATGGATTATGATAAGCATTTATATGAACCCCCAATAAAATGATTTAAAAAAATGCTGAACAACTCGGCTTATACACCAGTATATACAGTAAGTTGTTAATATTGAAAGAGCTAAGTAGTTCTCTATGCCTTCCTTATCATAGGTTTCTCCCTCTGCAGATATTTAGCATATTTTTATGATGACATTGATCCATTAATGCATCTCCACTGATTTATTTGTCATTGATAGAAATCTGGAACTTGGAAGTTCATTACCTCTGTTTTATACATGTTACGTTTGCGATGGCAGTGGGGTATACTCAAATGGAGATTTTCAGTTAACGGTCAGAGAAAGACTGTACTTAATTTTACAAAGGCAATTTTAGAATGAAAATCAAATCATGTCATTATTCTCCTCCTAACAAAGCTGAAGACCTGAGAGTTGCTTTTCAGCGGGCACATGATATAGCCTCCCAATACCCTCTGAGCTCATCTCCTAGTCCCTCTCCCAGTCCTCGCCTCACTGACCTCCGTCTTGTTTCATGAACAGGTCCTTAGGGCCTGAGGCAGGGCCACTTTCCCACCCTCCTGCCAGAGTCATCCTGCCTTCAGATGTGGTTCTCCTGGCACTTGCCCTCACCGCCATCAAGTCTCCTCGTCTCTTACCTTCTTACAGTCAATAGCCATTCCTTTCTATCCTCTTCCTGCCTTTATTTTTCACTTCTCACTCTTACCACTTTTTTTATATGCTGCATATTTGCTTAGTAAATTTTAAGTAAGTAAATTTTACTTATTTTCTGTCTCTCTTACAATAGAATGAGCTCTGTGAAGATAAACACTTGCAACTTTTGTTCACAGCTATACCTTCAGTGTCTAGAACAGAGACTCATAGATAGAAAGAGTTTAAAATTATTGCTAATTCCGTCGCCTGCTCCCCCATTTGGTTCATTTTAAAGTTTTCTACATAATGCTTGCTTTTGCTAGGAACCTTGCATGTTACCAAGGATGTTCGATCTGAAGTATTTTCTTGAGATGGAAACAAAAATTCACAGATGTAATCTACTAGTGATTGGACAGGTGTTCAGTCATTCATGCGCTGAATCCTGCAATAGACTCACACTCAGCAAGACCTGATGCAGACTTCGTTTGTATAGTATATTTTAGAACGTAGAATTTGTCCTGTGAAAAGTAAGGATTTAATCATGGGTTTTAAAAAAGAGGTTGAGGTATTTGGACTGATTTTGCGTTTATAGAGGATGTGCTCAAGGAGAGCAAGACTGGAAACTGGGAGACCATGTAGGAAGGCATCGTAGTAGTCCTGCTAGAGATGGGGAGAACTGGAATCATGGTAGAGAATAACATGAAGAAAGAGTGAATTTCAGAAACACTCAGAAAAGCAAAATGGACAGATCTTGATGTTTACTTGCAAGTGTCTGATATGGGCAACGAGTCAAAAATGACGACACAAGCCAAACTTGCTGCCATCGAGTTGATTCTGACTTACAGTAACCTTATAGAACAGAATAGAGCTGCCCCTGTGGGATTCTGATACTGCCAATCCTAACAGGTGGAGAGGGCCTCATCTTTCTCCCTTGGGAGTGGCTAGTGGTTTCGAACTGCTGATCTTGAAGTTAACAGCCCTACTTGTAAACACAATACCACCTGGGCGCCAATGTGTCAAAATACTTGAGAAAAACCAAAGACCCTAATCTGTTGGTGCCCAGGTGATTCTGACTCATGGCAACCCGTTTTCTTGGCTGTAATCTCTATGGAAGCTGATCACCAGGCTTTTCGTTTGCAGAATTGCTGGGTGGATTCAAACTGCTCACTTAACCTTCTAAGGCACCTTAGTGGCACTATCCAATACGTACTTCTAACCTCAAGGCCAGCAGTTCAAACCCACCAGCCACTCCAGGAGAGAAAAATGAGGCTGTCTGCTCCCATAAAGATTTATAGCTTTGGAAACTATGGGTTTCGAGATGAGTGGAAATGGACTAGATGGCTATGAGAGGGGCCTCCAACATACAGGAGGAACGGAGGGGGCCTTCCATTTGGAAAGCTGAATTTGAAGTGCCTATGTGACATGGGGTGGTGGTGGGATGGGCAGAAGGCGAGGAGCTTTCTACTCCCATGAACAGTTACAGTCTCGGAAACCCACAGAGGCAGTTCTCCCCTACCCCAGAGAGTCCCGTCGCTCTGACTCGCTGGCAGTGAGTATGTGACAGCCCTGTGGAGAGATCTGTTAGAGAGTTGGATTATGGATCTGAAGCTTACAAGAACTGAACTAACGATGGAGATTTGGCAGTCATCAAAATAGAGATTGGAGGCAATAGAACCACGAGAAACTCAAACCCTCAAGAGCTAGGCACCAAGGAATCTCGAATGAAGTGAGAGGAAAACGAGGCTAATGCTGCACACCCCTCAGGCCGCACTTGTAAGCACCGCTTCCTGAGCAGTGCCTCATTGACCTCTGATCAAAGTGAGCTCTCCTGTCTTGTTTTAACTTGGAGCCATTTTTCTCCCTTTATAACTCCTATCATGGGGAGAATGACATATTTATTTTTATCCTTTGTTGATGGCTTGTTCTCCCACCCCAAGAGAGTAAGAGCTTGTGCTCTACTCTTGGTTATGTGCCGGTTTAGAGCACAGGGTCTGATACGGAACCCAGGCTTGTGACGAAGTGTGGGGTCTTAGAAGCATGGGTAAGAAGCGTGGGGTCGTAGAAGCGAGTGCAGGATACTTTTCAGAAGGGAATCACTTCACATGCTGCTTCAAGGAGTTGATAAAATCACAACAACTTGCTAGCCTATACTGAGCACTAATGAATAAAGAAATAAAAATGTATTTGTTGAGAAGGGAAGTATCAGGTGAGTAATTTGTCAGGCAGACACTACACCTACTACTCAAGGAGCACTTGGTCCAAAGGGGCGATAATAACAACAGCCAATTGCCTACAGGCACTAGCTGCACTGTTCTCTTTGCAATGCAGTGTTTCCTTCAGCCTCACAACGCTAAAGATAGGTGCAGTTATTATCCGTATGGTACGGATGTATAAATAGGTTTAAGGAGATTATGTACTTTGCCCAAGGTCACATAAGAGGTAGGTAAGCCAGGACTTGAACAAGGCCCTTCTGCCCCAAAGCCCATGCTTTTAGCCATCTTGCTGATCTCCACTCCCGTAGAGCCATCCATTTGATTTCTCACCAGGAAAGTGATACCTTGAAAATGACATTGGAGCAGGAATACTTTTGCTGCTGTTTATAGGATGGATTAGAAGTGAGAGTGATTGGGACTGAGAAACAAGATAAAAGGATCTTGCCTTAATCTAGACGGGGGTATTTGGTTCCAAACTAGGATCATAATTATATCTAGGAACGAGAAAGGAGATGATCTAAGATACATTCTTAGGAGAAATTGGCAGGATATGAATACCAATTAGAAATGCGTGGTGAAGAGAAAAAAGAATTTTTAAATAAGATTGTAATCTTAGACACTGGAGATTTTCATAAGCTGTACATCTAATGTGGAGAAAATGTACCTTTTGTTGCATGAAATAATACGTTTGTGAGTAAGATTTTATGAATTACCCAACAAAAAAAGAGATTTGATTTAGACAGAATTTTGGTCTTCAGAAAGGGGTTAGAAACAAGTTTCCAGACTAGAGACAAAGAATTTGCTAGGAAGTATTTGTTAAAACCATGTTGGGGTGGGTTTGGGGATGGGGGAGAATCACATCAGATTGTCAAGGAGCTTAGCATTGTCAGTAATGCACTTTACCAACCTGACTGCTGGTGGCACAGTGCTATAGTCCTCTCACAGTGAGACCATGGGAAGCGTGAGAGGTGGTTTCACTTTGTAAGAATGTGCCTCCTTTCACAAGGCTAGATGGAGGATGTTGATGGGCACTAGTAAAATCCAAAAAGTACCATGAGTGTAAGGCTAGGGATAGGATTCCTGCATCTCATTAGGGCTTCTCCAGACAGTAGTGATTGATGAGGCCCAGACCAGAAGTGCAATCACTCACTGTCACTGCCACAGCCATATATGAAAGAGAACCTGGCTGACATGCCAGCGCGGGAGACTTTGTGTCAGGCACCTGTACCAAGGTCCTAGCATAGAGTAAACATTGCATCTTTGTCATCTGACTTCATAACCACAGGGTGAGGCTATGGAAATCCAAGTGGAAAGTGTAATCCAAACCTAGATTATCACTTAAATTTTAATCATATATAGCATTTTATTTTCCTATCAGTATAGAAATCCCAAACTTTATGAGTTAACTTTGTGCTTTTGTGTCGGTTCTGATGCTTTCATGATGCTTGTAATTGAGAGACCATAATGCTGAGAATTTCTCTAATATAGGGGAAACATTAAAGGTACATTTCTTATTGTCGTTCTTCCTTTTTTAGGTGTGAAATTTTTCAACATGAGTGGCCTCGGGGACAGTTCATCTGACCCTGCAAACCCAGACTCACATAAGAGAAAAGGATCGCCATGTGACACACTGGCTTCAAGGTATGGGCGGTCTCTTTCTGGCAGAGCTGCTGCACCACTGTCATTGCTGCCTTAGAGCTTTCATTTCATCGACTCACACGTTCACTGGCCTCTGAGCTCCTCTTGCTCTCGTTGCCCTCCGGTCCATTCTGCTGCCTCTTCTTTATCTGATTGTCCAGTGGCAGCAGTACCTTTGCATCCTCTGAAACCAGCACGTCACCACTTCCTCAAAGCAGCATTCCCTTCCTTCTGTGAATAGTCAAGCCCTCATCTTTATATCTGTCTCATATTTTTTTTCAATAGCTCTCATTTCATAATTGTAGGCTTTCACTAGCTTGGGTGATTATTTCATGAAGGACTGCCTTATTTATAAGACTAAAAACTGTATTAGTTGTGGGGCCTTGTTTGTTTGGGGGTTGTTGGTTTTTTGGGTTTCTTTGCTCACTGATGTACCCCTAATACCTAGAAAAATGTGTAGATTATATAAAGATGTCATAAATATACGGGTAAGTAAAAGAGTATTGCTACTAGTATTCCAGGTCATATGTCCCACCTACCCGTAGCCATCAAGATGATTGCTAAGTCATTGTGATGCTATTGTAGAAGGGCTTCCAGAGGCTGTGAATCTTTACAGAAGCAGACTCCCTCATCTTTCTCAGGTAGAGGGGCGAGTGGGTTTAGACTGTTGACCTTGTGGTTAGCAAGCAGCAGTAGCTTGAATTTGAATGACTTGCATCGCCACCAGACCTCCTTCATGTCTTAAATGCACAGACTTACTGCAAAGGAAACATGCTTCAATGTATCTCTGAAATCAGTGGTAGCTGCAGACCACTTCTCTCAGTAGTGCACTGTCTTGGACTCAAAGGTCGAATCAAAACAGTGGCTTCTGAGGGAATCTGCCAGGCCAGTTAGATGCAAAGCAAAGAGGTCAGCTCAGAAGTCTTTAGCGATGTTTTGAAAGGATTCTGAAGGGGTATTCTTGATAGGTTCTCTCCAAGGTCACAGGAAGATTCATGTGTTTATAAGGAATAAGTTTTCGAAAAACTGAAAACTCTTTTGGTGGGGTAAAAGAGCTATGCTGAGAAATCTTTTTCCCTTACCACAGTGCACCTCCTCGTTCGTTGAGAATAGTGAAGGCTATCCTACAAGAATGTTGATGGGAAGCCTTATCCTATCCACCCTATAACCTTGATTTTATCCCCTCACTTTTCTGTTGTTACCCAAGCTCAGAAGAACATATAAAATAAATATGTATTGCAATTCTGGTAATGATATTACTCAAAGAGCACAGAATTCTTTGAGGAAGGGTTCAAGAGATGGAAACACTGCCTTCAGAGTATGTAGATCCAGATGGGATATATCACGGAACAGTAGCTTCACATTAGATATTTTGCTTATTACAGGTTTCTATGATTTTGTAGCAATAATTTTAGACTTATTCTCATTTTTGCCAAATGATTGAGTTAATAAATCTTGTAAATCTTTAACTGCTGCCTCAGAACATGATGATATTAATGGACCTGAGAAACACTGTGTTTTAATATTAGGATTTTAAAAAAATGATTGTGTGTGAGACTAAACATTTGTTGTGCTGTAAGGAGTAAGACACCTTCCACTAAGTTCGAAACCTATGTCGCTGTGGAGTCAAGGTGGTGTACTGAGTCAGGACTGCTCCATAGAGCTTCCATGGCTGTAAATTTTCATGAGAACAGATTGTCACGTCATCTGAAGCAGAGCTGCTGGGAGTTTGAACTGTGGGGCTTTGCAATCAAGTGCTTAACCACTGCACTACCAGGGTTCTTCATGACCAGCTTAAATAGGCTAAAAGAGACCCATCACCTAAGAAGACTGGAACAAATCCCAGATGGATAAGGAACCTCAGTCAGGTTGAAAGGGAAATTTTCCATCTGAGATGAGAGGCGAAGAGGAGAGGAGGGAATTTTACTCTATTCACTCTGAGGATCTACAGCAATGGCTCTCAACCTTCCCAATGCCGCGACCCTTTCATACAGTTCCTCATGTTGTGGTGACCCCCCAACCATAAAATTATTTTTGTTGCTACTTCATAACTGTAATTTTACTACTGTTATGTAACAGGTGACCCCTGTGAAAGGTTCGTTCGACCCCCAAAGGGGTCATGATCCACAGATTGAGAACTGCTGATCTAAGACGAGTTTTTTTGTCTTCTGCAGTATTGACATTTGGGGCCAGATGATTTTTGTTTATGTAAACAGTATAATACTGTCTTGGTCTACCAGGATCCCTAGTGGCACAGTGGTTAAAGTGACCGGTTGCTAATGGAAAGATTGCAGATTCAAACCCACCAGCTGCAGAGAAAGATGTGGTAGTCTGATTCCCTAACGATTATAGCTGTGGAAGCCTATGGGGCAGTTCTGCTCTGTCCTATAAGAATTGCTGTGAGTTGAAATCAAATGCTTTTTGTCTGTTGTATACTGATCTATAATATACTTCTTTCAACATAATTTTTGAGATATTAATATATTTATCTGTTCCTGTTCACTTTTGATTAGTATTCTATTACATATTCCATATTTGAAAATGCATTCCCTACTAATCTGCATGTAGTTTAGTATAAACTTTCATTATTCTAGCCAGTAGTGCCACCAACATCCTCATACACGTCTCTTGTTATATGTATGTGAAGGTGTTTCTTTAGGCTTATACACATTTTTATGTTGAGTTAGATAATGAACCCATTGCTCTCCAAATGACAGCCATTAAGCATTCCTGTTTCCCTATGTCCTGGGTAATACTGTTCTATACTTATTTGAAATGTTTGCCAGTCCAATGAGTGTATGGTTGTACTTTTATGTATAATTCTCTGATTATTGGTTAAATTGTTCATCATTTTATATTTTTATTGGTCCTTATATTAGTCCACTTCTGTGAATTCCCTGCCAACAATCCTGCTTGATTGTCTTTCTTTTTAAAACATTTTACAAGGTTTTTAATGTTGTGGTTATTAACCTATGTTTTTTTTTCATCTGATGCAAAGATCTTCTCCAGCAGATATTTGCAGAGACTACCAGAAAAATATTTACTTGTGTATTATTGACTATGCAAGGTTGCTTGACTGTGTGGATCATAACAAACTATGGATAACATTGCAAAGAATGAGAATTCCAAAAGACTATCGTGCTCATGGGAAACCTTTACATAGACCAAGACCAAGAAGCAGAAGTTCATAGAGAACGAAGAGATACTGAGTAGTTTAAAATAAGGAAAGGTGTGTGTGTGTGTGTGTGTCAGGGTTGTATCTTTTCACCATATTTTTTCCATCTATCTATTTAGTAAATAAGCTGGACTATGAAGAAGAATGAGGCAACAGGATTGGAAGAAGACTCATTAACAACCTCATATGAAGATGACATAACATTGCATGCGGAAAGCCAAGAAGACTTGAAGCACTTAATGGTGAAGATCGAAAGTGACAGCTATTAGTGTGGCTTACAACTCAATGTAAAGAAAATCCAGATCCTCACAACTGGACCAATAAGTGATAGACAGAGAAAGATGGAAGTGGTCAAGGGTTTAATTGTACTTGAACCACTCATGGGAGCAGCAGTCAAGAACTCAAATCAAGTATTACATTGGTCCCACCTGCCCCAGGCTCTTTAACGTGTTAAAGAGGAATGGCGTCACATTGAGGACTAAGGGACACCCGACCCAAGCCATGGCATTCACAATCACCGAATATGCATGTGGAAACTGGACAACTAGTGCACATAAAGAAGATCAGAGAAAAATGGTGCATTTGCATTGTGGCGGTGCTGAAGAATATTCAGAGTTCCATGGGCTGCTGCTGGAAGGACAAACACAGTTGTCTTGCAAGATATACAGCCAGAATGCTCCTTCAGAGCAAGGATGATGAGACTTTGTCCCACATACTTTGGACACGTTGCCAGGAGGAGCTGGTCCCTGGAAAAGGACAGCGTGCTTGGTAAAAAGAAGGGACAGTGAAAAGGAAGAAGTGATGGAGTGACACAGTGGCTGCAACAATGAGCTGGGATTAAGCATAACGACAACTGTGAAGTTGGTACAAGACTGACCTGTGACCGTTCCCTCTTACAGAGGGGTTGCTGCAAGTCAGAGCAGACTCTGTCACCTGACAGGAGCATCTTCTCAGCCCTGTCCTTTGAAGGGTGTCTTGACGCACAGACGTGAAGTTTTCATTTTTAAATCTTTAAGGATATCGTCTGAAAATGTCTTTCTCTACTCTAAGGTGTTAAATGTAGATTTTATATTTTCATGTAGTATACATTTAGGATTTTAATTAACCTGGAGTTTACTTTTTGGTGTGGTATAAGGTAGGGGTCTAATTTTATTTCATTTTGTCATGTAGAAAGTAGTAGTCATCAAACTGTCCTTTTCCTGCTTCTGTACCGTCACCTCTGCCAGTCTGTTAGCTCTATCACGGACCGAGTGCCATCCATGAGCTCTGCTGTGAGGTGGGGCAAGCGCCTCAAGCGCCTCTTTCTTGATATTTTTCAAAATTGTTTTCCCACTTCTTGGCCCTTTCCTCCCACACATAGATTCTAGAATTAGTTTTTTAAGTTTCTCCCCAAAAAATCCTCCTATGAGATGTATCACTGGAATAAAGAGAAGACAGTTTCTGCCTGTACTTGGAAGCATTGAAAGATAGAATTTTTCTAAGTAAATTGGCAATAATTCCTCCAGATTTTGTTTTATGAGAATTGTATAAGAATTTTTACATAAATAGTGGGCTTTTTGTCAATTGTGTACAGAATACATTTTCTTTACTTTTATCTCTGATTATTGATTTATATTTTGTTCTTACTTTTTGAATGGATACTTTTTTCTTTTTGATGAGGAATAACTAATGTCCTAGTCATTATAAGAGTAAAGAGTTGATCAGATTTGTAATTATAACTTAGCTGAACTCTTAAGTATAGTCCTGTTTATTTTCAAAGTTATTTCATAATACCTACCTTCTATTTCAAAGAATGATTATTTAGATTGTAAAAAAAAGTCCAAATACAAGTAGTAGACTTACTGCCTGGTTCTTTTAATATCTGGAGTACTTTGGTGATATAAATGAATATCTAAGCTCTCAGTTACTAACTGAAGGTTGGCAGTTCAAACTCACCTACAGGCACCTCCTAAAAAACCAGCCTGAAAGCCCTGTAGCACACAGTTCTACTTTTTAACACATGGGCTTGCCATGAGTTGGAATCAGCTTGATGACTACTAGTTTGATTTTCTTTTCTCCTGTTAATATCTTGTACTCCTGGGCAATTTGAAATGTTCAAGCAAGTATATCTTCGGGAAAGTAGATCTGTTACAGCAGTCATTCACATGTATGTCAGAAGTTGTCTTCTGTGCTATCTGGTATCTGTTTTTTAGACATGGACTTAAATTTCTTTCCAAGTGTGGTTGTATAAACCAGATTAAAAACAAATGTTTAAACAATGAACAGTTGATCAAAGATGGAAGTACGATGATCGAAATGACCACTAACGGAACTTTCTTCATGTAACAGCACTGAAAAAAGGCGCAGGGAACAAGAAAATAAGTATTTGGAAGAGCTGGCTGAGTTACTTTCTGCCAACATCAGTGACATTGACAGCCTGAGTGTAAAACCAGACAAATGCAAGATTTTGAAAAAGACGGTTGATCAGATACAGCTAATGAAGAGAATGGAACAAGGTAAAAAATAATATAGAAATCCTGTGGCTACTATTTGTTACACAAAGACATTTACAGTCTGTGGTTCTCTTTTTTTATTATTATTAAGAAACTGTGTTGAACACCATGATTTAGTAATTACATGGTCCACCAAGACACTTGAGGTTTGCCTACCAGAAACAAAGGTAAAGTACTTTGGAAGAACATTCCTACAACTTGCCTCCATGTGATTCCCATAGGAAAGGCCCTGCTGAGGGTGACGGTGCACTAAAAATTTCTATAGCATATGAATACATCATCTATGATGAGTAAGAATACAAACAAACGGAAGGACTAGACCCACTTATTAAAAGCAGTAATTTGAAAAGATTAAATATGTTTAAAATGAGTAAAGTTATAAAATAACAATGACTATGGAAAAAGCAGGTGGAACTGGAAAAGGGAAAAATTGTTCTTATAAAACAACAATAAAAGTCATTAAAAGTAAAAAACTAGTGAATGACTTAGCAAATGAGAGATCTGAAAGAATGACCAGACTATCGGAGCTATAAAATCTGAGAAGATATCAAAGGGAGATCTAAAGGGTAGTGTACATAAACTAGAGAGAGATTCCAAAATATATCTTCCAGGGATAAGTTTCAAAAGGAGAGCTCAGTGAGAAGTTAGTATTTAAAAAGATCAAGACTGGGTCAATGAAAGACAGGAATCATCAGATATAAGAACATAGAGGAAGCAGAGACTGTTGAAGGAGCTAGAAACTTGCACAGTAACAACACCAAAAACCATCATTAAATTCCTTAGAACAAAGAGGATAACTGCATCCCTCCAGAAAAAAAGGACGTTATCAAAACGAACAATTAAAAACTAGGCAGAGTTCTTAGGAATTAAAAATATAGTCGAAGAAATGAGAGAAACTCAAAAGAAATAGAGAAAAGATAAAAGTATTACTCATGAGAATAAACATGAAATTCCACCCCCAACCCACCCCTGCCACTGCCAAAAAAGCAATCAGAATGTGCTGTAAATTGTATTGATATGATCATAGTCATGCCAAGACCACAAACTTGCCCCAAAGTATTCTATAACTATACTGAGAGAAGGGGCGGTGGGGCGATGGGGGTGGGTGGGAATGATGTGAAGTATATATATGAATCGAAGGGTAGGTAGAGTAAAAGATGCATTTCTATCTTATACAGTGGGAAAAAAGTTCTGATACCTATGAATGAAGTAGTCAGATGAAGTTGCAAAGTATATAATAACAATATAGAGATAAATACAACTGAAAACACTAAATGCTATGAAGGGTTTTCTTAGGGTGAGCAGAGCTGGAAGAGTAAGGAGCTGGGAAAATAACTGTTACTTAGAAACAAGCCTTGTCCAACTATTAGCTCTTTCTCCTGTACATATATATAGTTCTGGTTAAAAAGAGATCCATTTAAAAGAAAGAGCTCAACACAGTTTCTGGCTGGTATGAAGTCAGTGCTCACTAAGTGAGCTACCATTATTATAGAACAGAATTAAACACTGCCCACCGTAAAGTAATTACCAGACCTGGATAATTTGTACAAGTGAGTTCTAACATATTTCTGGAATCAGGTCATCTTACACAAACTCTATCCAAGAACAAGAAAAAGAAGAACTGCACCTGAACTAATTTTTTGGAGCTAGTAAACCTAGGTACCAAATCAGAAAAGGCCAGAAGAAGAGTGGAAAATGTAGGCCTATCACATTTGGAAATCTAGACACGCAAATCCTGCAGTTAGCATAGCCACTATTCTACCAAGGCTCCTTTTAGATAAACTATTAACATAGATAAAATATTAACAAGTTAACACTGCACCAGTGAATTTTTTAAAAATCATTTTATTGGGGGCTCATACAACTCATTACAATCCATACATCAATTGTATAAAGCACATTGTTAAATTCGTTACCCTCATGATTCTCAAAACATTTTCTCTCCATGTAAGCTCCTGGCATCAGCTCCTCATTTTTGCCCCTCTTTCCCTCTCCCACCTCCCTCGTGAGCCCTTGATAATTTATAAATTATTATTTTGTCATATCATACACAATCCGATGTCTCCCTTCACCCACTTTCCTGTTGTCCCTCCCCGAGGGAGGAGGTTATATGTAGATCCCTGTAATAGGTTCCCCCTTTCTGCTCCACCCTCCCAGAGAACTTTTTTTTTTAAGATGCATCATCATCACATCAATTTTTAATATTAGGAAATTATGTTAAGCAGAAGAGTGGAAGTTTTTATTATCTGACATTGCCCAACATTCCATTAAAATACAATATTTAAAGGTGTAAATCCCCAAAGGATGAAGAGCATGTGTGAGGAGATGACAGCAGACAAGATTTTCAGAGCTGGAAAATGGGTAGTCGGATGACCAGTATTGCCGGGGTGCTGTGGGGGAGCTAGGGAGAGGCTGTGCCCCTTCCTTGTCCCATTTTAAAACACCTCTGCAGCCTGGCTCTACTCTGAAAATGGAGTGGGGTGGGGGGGTGTCCTCTGGGGAAGATACATATGGGGTGCTGACACTGGAGATCTTCCCATGAAAAAGTAGCTCTTGGTCTTGCCTCACCCTTCACACAGCTGCCAAATTAGCTTTTTAGTACCTCGCTCTTTCATATGAACCCAAGGCCACAGAGTCTCAGAAAGCTTGTATGATCAAAGAGAAGCAAACAAGCAAGCATAAAAAGCAAGGAAGCAGGGGCAGTACAATATAGGGAGCAGAAGGAAAAAGGAAAGCAAGTAGGCCCTCCGAAATGGAAGGGGAGCTCTTTCATCCGTGCCGTCGAAGTGAACATTGGACATTGAAAACAGGATAGCTGCAGATCAACTTCACCTCTTCCCTCGGTCTCTCTCCTCCATAAAATTCTTCCCACTCACCCTATTCTTTTTTTAAACGTTACAAAACAAAAAACTCAAAGCCCTCTATGTTTTTCTTGATTTCTTTTCCCCCACTACACCTTTTACATCTGACGAGTAAGCATTTTCTTTGCTGGTGTGTGTGTGTGCCTATCCGTACTGCAGCTGCATGAGGGCAGCCACGTCTGTCTGCTCCCCTTTGCATTCCTTGTGCCTGTAATAAGTTCCTGGTCGCATAGTAGGCCGGAAGCCCTTGCTGCTCGCGGCAAGATGCGCATTTCCCGCTCACCAGGAGAAAGGTGATGCTTTCTGGTCCTGTAAAGATCGACAGTTTTGAAAACCCAAACTGGCAGTTCTCCTCTGCCTTACAGAGCCACGTTGAGTCAGAATTGACTAGGTGGCAGCGAGTTGGCTTTGGAATAGTAGGCTCTCAGAGAATATGTGTTGGACAAAGAAAGATAATTTGAAGAAATCACATAGACAGTAAAAGGAGATAAGCAATGGGAAATGAAATAAAAGATAAGAAACGTATAGTAGTAGTTCAGGAAGTATGTAGCCTATGATTAGTTCCAGATAAAGAGAACAGATCAAATAGCGGGGAGAAAGTGATAAGAGAAATAGAAATTTAAAAAAAATTCTCACCAGCACAGAGCTATGTCCTCATGGTTTACCACGTTTTAAGGTTGAAAGCACTCGAGTAGTGCCCGACACAGTGCATAAAAAGGGAAGAGAAACCCAGTGCACAATGCAGTGGCATTTCCACAGCCTGGAGACAGACAAAGGGAGAGGAAACGGGTCACACACACTCTAGTTTTCAGAGTGGGTTAGACTTATCAATAACATTGGACACTAGAAGGCTAGATCTAGAGTTTGTCTTTAGCCCAGTGAAGCATGGGTACAAATTAAAGATACCTTCCTATTACAAAAGTAAGATATGAGGAGCTGCAGCCAAGCATAAGCTTCAAGTGTTCTCGAGGAAGCAGAAGAACAAAACCTTTTCCTATTACTAGTGGTACATCCTCTCTGGGCGCCATGTGTTAGTATTTGGTAATGTCAAGGATACACGGACCCTGTGTCCAGTGACTTCTCTTGTTTACACTAAACCAGCTATCACATATGTTCAGCTGACATACTGGAAGTGGTTTCTTAGAACACTGTCTAAAGTGTCTTATTAGTAAGGGACAAGACATATCAATGGTGAACTTTTTATATAGTTTGAATCTATATATCAGTTAAAATGAATTAGTCCTACATGTAGTCTGTATCACTAAATCTCAAAGATAAAAGTAAATGGAGAAATTAAATGGTTTATACAGGGGCCTTAAAGTTTTGTGGAAAAAACGACATTATCCTTTCAATACTTATCCTTTCCGTGAACTTTTTGAAGCCCCCTTAACTAGTAAGGTTTTAAATAGAATAGTACTCTTAAGACAACACATGTAGAGATAAAAACATGCTCAGAAATGAGATGTGCCAACCATAGAATAATGGTTATTTTTGAAAGGGAACTCAGGAAGAATGGTGGCAGGGCTTTTGCAACGTTTACATCATATTTGTTTAAAACAGAAAGATCTGAAGCAAGTAATGGAGAAATATTAACATCTCCGAGAAGTCAGTAGTGGCCATGTGAAGTATGCTGTCTTTTTCTATATGTTTTGAACTATTTAAACTATTTCAATTTTAAAGTAGAGAGATGAATGTCTGTATTTAGTAAATTGTCATTGCTCATGTCAGGTAACTCCTAGCTGAAAGTAGGAAATACCTGAAAGATCTTCACTTGTGTTTTATTGACTGTGCAAAGGCAGTCAGCTGTGTGGATCATGCAGAACTTGTACATGGATCAAGAGGCCGTTGTGAGAACAGAACAAGAGAATACGGCATGTTCTTAAATCAAGAAAGGTGTGTGACAGGCTTGTATCCTCTCACCATAGTTATTCAGTCTGTATACTGAGCCAATCACCAGAGAAGCTGGTTTAGATGGAGGAAAATTTGGCATTAAGATTGGAGCAAAGCTTATTAACAATCTGTGATATGCACATGATACAACCTTGCTTGCTGAAAGTGAGGAAGATTTGCTAATGAAAATCAAGGATTGGAACCTTCAGTATGGATTACAACTTAATGTAAAGAAAACCAAAATCCTCACTTATGGACCAGTAGGTAACATGAAAAAATAGAGGTTGAAGTTATCAATGATTTTGCCTTACTTGGATCCATAATCAATGCTCATAGAAACATCAGTCAAGAGATCAAAAGATGAGTTGCATTAGGTAAATTCTGCACAAAATCTCTTTATAGGGTTGAAAAGCAAAAGGATGGACAGTCAGGGTGCAGTAGAGTAATGATGAAACATACTAATTTCCTCTAGTTCTTAAGTGCTTCCTCCCCCCACTGTCATGATCCCAGTTCTACCTTACAAATCCGGCTAGACCAGAGGATGTACACTGGTACATATAAGAACTGGAAACACAGTGACTCCAGGGTAGATGCTCCCTTCAGGACCAATGGTGAGAGTGGCAATACCGGAAGGTGGAAAGGGGGAACTGATCACAAGGATCTGGGGGGCGGACAACAGAAAAGTGGGTGAAGGTAGACGTCAGACAGTGTAAGACATGACAAAATAATAATGGGGATGGCAACAAGTGTACAAATGTGCTTGACACATTGGATGTACATATGGATTGTGACAAGAGTTGTATGAGCCCCCAATAAAATGATTTTAAAAAAAAGACAATAAAAGTGTGTGGATTTGAAAAAAGAAAGACTAAGGTGCACCTGACCCAAGCCATGGTATTTTTCATTGTCTCATATGCATGTGAAAGTTGGACATTGGATAAAGAAGACCAAAGAAGAATGGATCCATTTGAATTGTGGTGCTGGAGAAGAAGATTGAAATTACCATGGACTGCTAAAAGAGCAAACTGATCTATCTTGGGAAAAGTATGGTCAAAGTGTTCCTTGGAGGCAAGGATGGGGAATCTTCATCTTACATACCAGGAGTCCAGTCCCTGGAGGAAGACATCATGTTTGATAAAGAGAGGCAGTGAAGAAGGGAAGGCCCTCAAGGAGATTGATTGGCACTGTGGTTGCAGCAATGAACTCACAGTTGTGAGGCTGGCGCAGGACCAGGCAGTGTTGCCTTCTGCTGTGCGTAGGGTCACCATGGGCCGGAACTGACTCGATGGCCCCTAACAACAACAGAAGTAGCTGTTAGTCAGAATTGATGTCAACAGAATAACTAGTCAGGAAAATTGGAACCTTTTATTATGTAAGCTTGATGCTGCTTTAAAATGAGAGGAGAGCTTTCTTTTTTGAGGGGAGAGCTTTCTGTCATCACAAAAGAACTGAATCATCTGGCAGGTAGGATTTCATCAATCAGAGCATCATACCATAAGCATGGAAAGTTCGCTACTTCAGCCTAACTCTCCTGAGGAATAGTCTCTGTTCTACGATACTGATCAAATCAAGAAAGGAAAACAGACAGAGAAAATTGTTCATTCTTTTTACAATGTATCCATATACTAAACTCTTGGTATGGACTCCTGAGTAAGGAACAGTTCTAGTCTGTCTTAGTAGGCTCACCATGAGTCGGAGTAGACTCACTGGCAGTGTGTGTGTATGTATAGCACTGTTCTCCTGGTTGGAGCATTGGATTTGGTTAAGCCAAGATTCAGGTGGCTCATGCTGCCACTTTCTGGTGTGTAATTTGGGGTGCAGTATTTACCTTGGTGACCCTTCACTTCATAATCCATCGCATGAGGATAGTGAAGACTAAATGTTAAAGTTCCTAGGTATAAACTAAATACCTATTTGAAATCTAAATTAGGTGAACCTATGCCTTTCTAAACTTACCGTTTTGGATATATGAATATGGGAATTTCTTTGCTACAGAGAAATCAACCACTGATGACGATGTACAGAAATCAGACATTTCATCCAGTAGCCAAGGAGTAATTGAAAAGGAATCTTTGGGGCCTCTTCTATTGGAGGTAAGTGTTGTCATTGACCCAGAAAGTGATCAAAATCTCATTTCTAGCTAATTTGTTTTCTCTCTCTTTGTTAGAGAACAAAGTAAAGTTTAAGCATTTCTTATAATTATTATGAAAGCTGGTTGACAGTTGTTACCATTTCAGAACCAAGTGTACACACTGAACATGAGGGTTTTTTATAAACGCAGGCTAAAGTAGTCAGGTGGAAACCTGAGACCTGCTGTGTGGTTTGAGTTTATTTCTGGGGTGGACTCATTGGGCCAAGAAAGGATTATAGAATGGCTGACTGACCCAGCTAGTGCTCTCTCTGTTGACTACAGAATTCCTCTTTTGAGTAAGGGGTGCCTCGCTTTATTATCAAAAATTTTCTCACTAAAAAGTTTTAAATGGTTTGTGTCAGCATTCTAGGGGAACTCAGGATTTTAACAAGCCTCTAACACACTTTGTGAAGTGAGGAACTTGTAAACTCAGATAATCACAGTGTAACACCTCCCCTTTTCTGTCTCATTTTTGCCCTCTCTGTCCTCAGCACAGATATTTGGTTTGAAGTAGGCCCATGACCACCTTAACCGCCCCTTGAATACATGCATGTGTAAACATAATACGTATGTGTACACACACATTCTCTGGTATTTACTTTCCTGACCTTCCGTAAGGTCCACCCTTCTTTTGTACTCCACTTAACCACTCAATGTTCACAGGCCTTTTTATTTTTTAATGCTTTTGTACTTTTTCCCCTCTTACCCTATTTACTCACCTTATGTATTAACCCTAGTTTCTTTGTCCCTAATCCTAATGTGAGAACATTCTCAAAATTCAGTTCTTCTTTTCCCAATACCAGAAATATCTATTTTCATCATTTTACCCTTTCTCACTATACAGCTGGTACTAGATGGGAACGTTTTACCATGTGCACATTGTAACCATATCTCTTCCCGGAACTCCACTCCTCTGCTTTTAACCCATGATTAAATATTTTTTACACTCAAATTGGCCGCTAGTCTTTGGATGGCACAGATAGCTTAAGTGTTTGACTATGAGCTGAAAGGTTGGTGATTCAGACCTACCCAGAGAGGCCGAAGGAAACAGGCCTGGAGAACTGCTTCCATCAAAGGCCACAGCCTGGAAAGACCTCTGGAGCAGCGCTAGTCTGAACCCCTGGGGTCGTTGAGTCCGAGCACACATGGCCACCAGCAACAGCCGCCAGCCTTCAAGTGTGACTGGTAGCTGTCATGTTAGGCAGCACTGGTAGATAGGGGTTCCATCATTACAGACAGTTCTGGTTGCCAGCATTGGTCTGAGGGTGCTTTTCTAGAGGGACCATCTATGCTTGTAAAAAGCGAGTGGACCATAATATGAGAAATACTAACAATTTTTAGCAGAGTAGTATAGCATGAGTTAAGAATGAAAATATTGGAGGGAATTTCATGACATGTAGAGATTGGTAGCCGAACTTTCCAACTCAAAAAACATTTTATGTATACCGGCAGTTCAAAACCACCAGCTGCTCCTCAGGAGAAAGGCAGGTCTTTCTACACCTGTAAAGAGTTGCAATCTCAGAAACTCAAAGGGGCAGTTCTACCATGTCCTGCAGGGTCACTTTAAGTCTGCATTGACGTGATGGCAGCGAGTTTGGTTTTGTTTTTTAAACTATATGTTAAAGAGTCCTGGTTCTGTATGGGTTACATGTTGAGTTGCTAACCTCAAGGTTAGCAGTTTGAAACCACCCAGCAGCTCCATGGGAGAAAGATGAGGCTTTCTACTCCCATAAAGAGGTAGTCTCAGAAACCTGCAGGGGCAGTTCTACCCTGCCCTATATGGTTGCTATGAATAGACTGGCTGGCAGTTCAAACCTACCAGCTGCTGTACAGGAATAAGATGGCACACTGTTAAAGTCAGAGTTTTGAACCCACCTAATGGTTCTGAGGAAGGAACGGAGAGGGGCCATCTGCTCCCATAAGAATTGCAGCCGTGGGCACCCTTTGGGTAGCTGTACTCTGTCCTATAGGGTCCCTATAAATTGGAATCGATCTGATGGCACACAACAGCTCAATTCTGATTTTAATAAAGAATCTCGCTGGTGTACTGTTTTGTATTGTGCAGGCACTGCACAATTCTGTTTTCCTTCAGTGCCTATATAATTGTTAGGAAGTATGGTGTATTCAAAAAATGTTGTATAGTTCTAATAGACAGGTGACGGCTACATTGTCATTGAAAGCCCGGGCGGGGCCTGTGAGAAGCCTTGAGCAGTGAGAACGCTGCTGCGAGGCTCTCATGAGCAGCCAACAACTCTCTCTCTCTCTCTCTCTCTCTCTCTCTCTCTCACACACACACACACACACACACACACACACACAAAATATATGAGGGACATGAGGACAAGTATTAGCAGATTATACTACTATGATTTTTGGGTTTGTTTTAGAAATTAGAAGTCTCAGATAATATTCCCTGAAATACTCCCAATTATTACTTGGGAGTGGGATTTTTGTAGTTCTCCTACTATCTACCTTATTTTTTTTCCATATTTAAAAATATCTGTGATGTCTATACAATATTTCATTTGCAATAAAAAACAAAACATGGAAGTTAAATTGTATTTACATAGGTTCAATTAGTAGCTAACAACGTTTTAAGCAATTTCACTTAAACAAAACTGGATAGCTCTGCTTTAATCATCACTTTTCATTTAAACTGCAAGACAAATAAATATGAGGGGCTTCAAAAAGTTTGTGGGAATGGTCCGTTTTCTTTTAATGCCCTTTTCCATAAATTTTTTTAAGTCCTCACCTGTGCTGAGAATCCACCTGTATAGCTAATCTAACTTAAAAGGCAATTGAGAAAAAAAAAAAAAAAAGACAATTGAGTTAATTAGACAGGAGGGTACTTCCCTGTGTTTATCTAAACCCTAAATAGTTTAGCCCAGGGAGCTAAGGTTTTAGATTGATTCACATCCCTCCCTCTGCATTGGGGACTGAATGAGACAGTTACAAAAGGCAGATAGGGATAAAAGCAAGGACTTCCTTCCTTTTTGCTCTTGCTAAAGAACTTACTAGCCCTATTTTTAATAATTGTGCTTTATTATTTTTTAAAGTTTGTGATGCAGTGATTTGAGGATGTAGTTCTAATCTCAGTTTATTTTAATACGTGGGTTAAATTAATTGTCTTTGCTGGAAACGACACCTAAAAAATGAGGTAGATGCAAATAGGAAAGTGTCGCTGGAAGAGTTGACCCAGTCATAATGTTCATTTTAAAGCCCAACCAACCCATTCTGCAATATTTTTATTGAAATTTTAATCATCTTTGATCCCGAACTGTGATTCTTTTAAACTAATTTGAAACTGTTGCATTTTTAACAAATTGTTCTTTCTTCACACTCCACTGAAATTCAGGGAGAGTTCTAAAAATCTTGTATTTTAATTTTATAAAGTTCTATTTCTAAGCTGTGAAGCTGAGTATATAATTTTTCACAAGTGATACACAATTTTCAGCAATAAAATCCTAACTATGGAAACATTTCCAAACATCCATTTCTTACTTGCTGTTTCTACAAGAGGTTTTTGTTTTGCTTTGTTCTGTTTTTAAAATCAGTTTACTTTTCATTCATTGTTCAAATTCCATCCTAATGGTGAAGGAACAAAATGAAGTGTTCATATTTTGTGGAAAATGTCTTCAAGTTAATGTGTTATCACATGTCACCAGAGAAAAGGCCAATAAATTTGGAATATTTGCCCTTAAAAATACAAAACGAAAAACAAAAAAACAAAAAACGATGAAACAACAACAAAAAAAGGCGAAACGAAGAAAATGAGCTTGTCCATCTTTGCTAGACACCACTTTCAAATGTTTGCTGCAAGATAACCAGCAATGCCCCATGTGATGTAAGGGTTTTTTAAAATACTTTTATTGGAGGCTCTTACATCTCTTATTACAATTAATACACTCATCCAGTGTGTCAAGCACATTTGCACTTATGCCGCCATCATAATTTTCAAAGCATTCTCTTCCCATTTGAACCCTTGATATCTGTTCCCCATTTCTCCTCCCTCTCTCCCCTATTCCCCCCTCCCTCATGAACCCTTGATAAGTTATAGATTATTTTTTCCATATCTTAACTCATCCTCTGTTGCCCCTCATCTACTTTTCTGTTTTCCGTCCCCCTGGGATGTGGTTCTAGGTTGATCCTTGTGATCGGTTCCCCCTTTCCACCCCCTCCCCTAATCCTCCTGGTATCTCTACTCTCCTTGTTGGCCCTGATGGGTTTGTCTATCCTGGTTTCCCTGTGTTGGGGGCTCTTATCTGTAGCAGTGTGCATGCTCTGGTCTGGTCTAATCTGACTGGGGGGAAGGAAGCATCAAAGACCTAGAGGAAAGTTGTGTGTTTCATCGCTGCTATACTGTACCCTGACTGGCTAACTTGCTCCATGTGACACCTTTGTGAGGGGATGTCCAATTGTTTACAGATGGGCATTGGGTCTCCACTCCATGCCTCCCCCACCCCCATTCACCTTGGGTATGGTTTTATTCTGGGTCTTAGATGCCTGATACCTGATCCTATCAACACCTCATGATCACACAGGCTGGTGTGCTTCTTCCATGTGGGCTTTGTTGCTTCTGAGCTAGATGGCCACTTGTTTACCTTCAA